TTTTTAATAATGGAAATGACCATAAATTGTTGAAGAGCATGCTGATAAGTGAATAAATGTTTTGTTTGGGAAAATATTTGCAGATTCATTTCAGCTGTTAAATTGAGAATTTGCCTAAATAACCAGGAATGGATGGATTGAAGCATATTTTGTTCCACCAGTTGAATAATAATGGACGTTTTTTTCATATTTGATGCAATTAAATGACCTTTTACATTAAACCAATTCTTGCTGTTTTTATTTTTTACAATAACCATGGGCAGGCTGGGGTACTCGAGAAAACAGATGTATGAGTGCCACTTATGACTAGTCCTTTATTTGTAAATCGACTGTACTTGAATAATTGAGTTTCTACTGAAGTTTAAGAATACCCACATATTTTGTGAGGGATTATTCTGACGGGTCACCACAGCAGGTAGATCAGCATGTTTGATTTGGTTCTATTTTAGTGTTTGCTTTTGTTTGTTTTTTGTTTTTTAAATTTAAGCGTTAACTGTATTGACAGAAATACACTTCCATATGATTATATGTTTTGTGAAATTACAATACTCACACTACCTATCCATATCACAACATTTTATATGAGTACCACATATTGCTGTGGCCAAACAGAAGCCAGGAAGAAATCAAGTGTCATGAGTCACTTTGTTGCCATTGTTGCTGCACAGTCTTCCCTTGAAAATATGACAGGAAGGAAACAGTGTAACGTCACAGTGTTTGCCAAAATGATTCTTGAGGACGTTGTAGAGGAAGGTAGTGTGTGTGAAGCTTTGATTTTTATACATGAAAAAAAATTTGGTCTCACACACAAACATTGTTTTCCATCCTCTTTACTCTCTTTGTAGCTTAGTTTTTGTATGTTAGCTCTATTTTGTTTTCATGTCTCAAGGAACCTTTTAACTTAACGATCGTGGCTCAAGAGTTGGGAGTTCGCCTTGTAATCGGAAGGTTGCCGGTTCGAGCCCCGGCTTAGACAGTCTCGGTTGTTGTGTCCTTGGGCAAGACACTTCACCCGTTGCCTACTGGTGGTGGTCAGAGGGCCCGGTGGCGCCAGTGTCTGGCAGCCTCGCCTCTGTCAGTGCGCCCCAGGGTGGCTGTGGCTACAATGTAGCTGCCATCACCTGTGTGTGAATGGGTGGATGACTGGATGTGTAAAGCGCTTTGGGGTCCTTAGGGACTAGTAAAACGCTATACAAATACAGGCCATTTAACTTCTGATTTTGCATTTTAAGTCAGTAGTTTAATTTTATTAACTCTATTTTAATGATTTGGCTTGGTCTTCAATAAGAAAGCTTTATGCTTTTAATATTCACGGTTTGTTGAGTAGTATTACTTAGCTTCAGAACCTTTCTGGCCATTAGCTCAAGGTAATTTTTTTGGATATCATTCACTCACAGAAAATATGTTCAATAAAAAGAACCTAATTCACAAGTTGCTATCATGTTATGGAGTAGCATTGGCCTGGGTGGGACAAAAGACTCATTTACCAGGA